CAAAAATCCAGTGTTCATATGTGAAGGTATGCATTTACGGAGACACTTTTTTTCGCACGAAAAATTTCATTATCAAGAAATGAAATATTTCTTTATGGGATCTTTCACAAAATTAATCTCAACAAAAGGCTCTTTAAAAAATATTTGTTAAGATGGTCATGTCAAAAATATTAAGGCTTGGAAAACTTCTCTCTGCCATCCTCGACACAAGGTAATCTAATCAATTGAAAAGTCCCACAGAAAATAATGGGTAAAATTGATCTTTCGAAAATATTCAAGAAATTTCGCTCCACATTGAATAAGTTGTAGTTTTCGTTTTTGAAAATGCACCAGAGATATTTTTTTAAATCTTGAGCATTTGGAACTTTGAAATAAAAAATTACACAAACTGTCATTCACCAGGCGAGACTTCAAGAGTTACATCATCATACTCACGGAATTTTTGGCATTCCATTTATGGTTTTCCGCCGCTCTTTTTGTGGCCAACTTCAACTGGGACAAAATACAGTAATTCAAAAGCTATGCCTGAAAAATGTATAAACGCTCTTGTGAAAATAATTTTAGATGAGTTCTTATAAAATGTCTCCTATTAAGACAGCATTGGGTTCAAAACCTTCGTACCCCTCCTCCTCCCAAATAAAGATGTTCGTGCCTCCAGCAACCAAATCCTATGAATTATAAATGTCACAAGCATAAAAACATTTTCTCGTACCTGCAGAGCATGACGGCAGACATGACAGCAATCAGGAGAACCACAGAAGAAGCCCCAGCCACAATGACCACAAAGAGGGTACCATTGCCGGACTTGAGGCTGCTGGTGTCCGGCATTGCCTTGGGTTTGGTGCAATAAGACTCCACTTGGCGCCCTACTGGTGGTCCAATGAACTCCAGCTGCGATTGGGCACCTGCCCTCTTTGCTGCTCCACGCAGAAAAACGGAATCCACTCTGGACAATGACAGATTCGTCACGTGAATCTGCGTTGGAAAAAGAAAAAAAAAGATACGATGGATCAATATTTGCCAAAAATCAACACCAGACGAATACGGTTCTAAATAATTAATCTAATTTGAATGTGTAAAAACCCGGAATGAGATTGAAAAAGGGAGAAGGTTGATGACAACTGGTGTAAACGGAAGTCAACTCCTTCGGCTTTTTTTCATGAATTCAGAGGTACGTAAATGATTTGGTTCCGAGTTTATAATGTTTTTTTCAAATAAAAAGCTTAGTTTTTTCGCATGCAACACCATTTTCAAAACACATTTTGGGTGCATTTCATGCCAGATTTTAAAAGCAAAATTTGTTGTACACTGGGAATACATTTTATTTCTCTTACCAAGTGCTTTAGAGAAAATACCCATTTTTTTCTGAGTGCTGGTAAAATCAAATACTGCATTAGATATTTTTCAAAAATTCTGGTTTGAAATTCAATTTTTCAAAATAAAGCAATAACGTGGTTCCCCTCAAAAACAGCTTCGGCTGCTGGTGTGAGAGGGTACTGTATTCAATCAATTTGACAAATTCAGGGAAAGGGCATGTTACTAATTATAAGCACCA